AAAAAAAAGTCTCTGAAAATAGGTATCTTTACCTTAACTTTCTTTAACTATTTTTTATATTCCTTCTCTTTTCAAGAGTCTTTTGAGTAGAGTGCTATTTATTTTTTTATTGCTATTATTATCACTAACTAATATTTCACAATCACTTTCATTATCAGTTTTATTATTGTCAATATTTTCAAGCCTTGTGAGTAAGTTTTGTATTTCTTTTTCCTTCTTTTGATCCAATTCATGTAATTCTGACTTATTAATAGCATCTACAACCTTTCTAGCTCCAATTTCTTTTTTATAGCAAGATTCAATCAAACATATTTCATTAGTATCACCTATATCTGCAGACTTTTGGCAATAAATGGATATATTGTGATCATTTTTTTTCAATACTGATTCTATTTTAGTAGCAAGATCCAAGATTAATTTTGTTAATAAAACAATTTCTAGCATCAGGAAGATGCACTACAAGACTTTTGTAGTTGTGCCAAAGATTTTTATATAGCTCCAATTCATCATAAAAGCAATTATCAAAAATACTCAGTTTATAGTCTATATTTGTTAGTGTTTAATCATAGGCAGAGGTCTTAAAGAGGTCTTTTTCAACTCTAGCTCTTCTATCTTTATTCTGTTTGATACTGATTTTATCAAGTTGGTTCTTCTTGATGAACTTTAAATACTATTTTTTGTCCTTTTTAACTTCTATTCCAATTTGATTACAGTGTCTAAGATTATATGTTCCACTATTATGTCTCTTTTTAGCAGGTTTTGGATAGTGAGTATATGTCTGATATTTATTTTTTTCAATACCATTTTCCTTCAGAGGTTCATAGACAATTTCTTTCATTTTTGTTAAGACCTATTTTGGTTAATCTTTAGTATAGATAGGTAAATATAAAAATCATAATATAATCTCTATATGGATCTTCTTTAGAAAGATGTTTAAGCTCTAATAAGTTTCATATAATTACATGATACAATAGTTTAATTGAAATAAATAATCATAAAATCAAATATTCTAACTTATGCTAATTAAAAGTTAAATTTAACTCATGTAAGTCAATTTAAGTTAATATTTAACTACATTTAACTCAGATAGATCAGCAATCACAGATTAGATAATACAACATTTAATTTTTTAAATCTTGTCAATTTGACTTTGTTAGTTTTGATTTTAGGTTTAGTAATGCTTCTTTTTCTTTTTGAATACTTCTTTCTTGGCTTCTTTATTTGGAATTGGGCCTTCGATTTTGGGTAGGTATTATTACTTTGTTATTTAGTTTTTTGCTTGTAAAATATGTTACTAACGCTCTCTTTTCTTTTCTTCTTTTTTGGTTTTTTGAAATTGGGCCTTCGATTTCAGGTAGGTATAATTACTTTGTTTGTTATTTAATTTTCTTGCTTGTAAAATATGTTATTAACACCTTCTCTTTTTTTCTTTCTTGGTTTCATC